TGCCGTCCTCGATGATGCCGCAGGCGATGCGCGCGCCAGTCTTGTCGTGGATCACCACCGTCCGGCCCAGGAGATCGCTGCTGCCGAGGCCGGTGTCGACCTCCACGAAGAGGACGTTGGCAGGGTCCGTGCTGGAGTCGTACTTGACCGACAGCCAAGGGTCCTCTCCATCACCGTCCCAGTAGTGTGGGCCCGCACTTTCGTCGCAGCTCATGCCTGCAAGGCTCCGAGAAGCAGGAATCAATATCAACATGTGTCCGGGCCCTGTTGCTTCCGACCAGGTGCAACAAACTGTTAATTCTGGGGAAGGACACATGTCGCGAAGATGTTGCAGGCCAAGCGTCAGGAGTGTTGAGTGAGGCTACTGCAGCTTCGGATTGGCGGAGAATACGGAGCTTAGGGGCAAGGGCCGGGCATCAGAGCTACTTCTAGCAACTTGGTGAGGACAGGACCCCAGCAGAGGCATGTGCCTACAAAGAACGGCTTCGCGGGCCTTCGTGAATGTGGATACCACAGCAGTTGGTCTGGGTGCACTCGCTGCTGCAACCGGGGTCGAGGCCAGTCAAGCTCCAAGACAGCACCGTCTTGCTGTCGTCTGTGGACTTCACCTCGATCACTCCCTGTGGCTGGTAAGGCGATGAGGAACCGACGTAGGGGCTCAAGTCGAAGACGTACAAGTCATCACCGTCCACAGGCGCTGGCTCCTCTTCTGGCATCTCGATGATGGCGCAACCAATGCGAACACCATCGTAGTCGTGGACCACCACAGCCCGGCCGTCGATGTCGTCGGCATTGTAGCCCGTTGTGACGGTCAGGTCGTTCACTGCCGACGGCATGGAGCCCTCGATCACGTAGCGAACGTCCATCCAGGGGTCTTCCGGGTAGAGGTCCTTGTTCCAGTAGTGACCTCCGACGGAGGCGGCATTCGAGCAGGTCGTCCCCTCATGGATATGGACACCGCAGCAATTGGCTGCCGTGCATGTCGGCGACGCGCAGCGGGGGTCAAGGCCTTGCGTGAACAGCCAGCTGAGCGTCTGCTTTCCATCCTCTGACTCGACCTTTCAGGAGCAACGACATGCAGCTTACTGTAGACGTTCACGAATCATGTAGTGGCTACACGCAGCTACGGAGAGCACAATAGTCAATTGAATGAGCGCCTGGACACCACCGGATGTCAATGGGAGGTCACCACCGTATTTGGGGTACTTCTCGAAGACCGTGGTGGTGGACGGCTCGATGATGCCACAGGCAACTTTTCTGCCTTTCTTGTCATGGATCACCACAGTGCGGCCCAGCACGTCGTCGTTTGCAAGGCCCGTCTTCACTTCCTTGGACAGCACGTTCGATGGGCTGGAGGTGTACCTCACCGACAACCCGCTGTCCCAAAGGGGAGAGCCTGCAGGCTCCTCGCAGCTCGTGCCTCCGCAGGGATACACGCAACTGCGCCGAGTTTCAACGGGACTCGGATTGAGTGTCTCTACAGAACCTGCCCATATACATGATCATATATTGCATGTTATTATATGCTTGCTGGTTTGTCGCTTACATGCTGTCGTGCCCTCTCCCCGTCGTCTTCGTGCTGGCATCACCAGCACGGGCCAAAATTGTAGAGATGCTTCATGCTAGTAAGGTCACAATCGCAGTAACAGTGACGATGGTGAACAGTTGATCCTGGCAGTGGTCCTGTTCATGATAGTTGTGGCGATCTAGAATCTATCGATTTATCAATCTAGGATCATCTACGAATATAGAACCAGCTGCCGCTAGCAGCAGCCACAAGAACAACGACAAAGTTCGCTGCCGACTGCTGGTCCGCCCGATTCCCGCCTTCGTAGATGACCACCCCACAGCAGTTGTCGTTCTTGCAAGTCCTGCTGCAGCCCGGGTCGAGGCCGGTGAGGCTCCAGGAAAGGCGTGTGTTTCCGTCGGGGAGGGACTCCACCTCAACGACGCCCTCCGGCATGTAAGGCGATGAAGAGCCAACGTAGGGAGTGAAACCGAAGACATACAACTCATCACCGACAATTGCTGGAGTCGTCGTGGTGGTCGTCGAAGTGCTGGTCGTGGTCGTGGTGGTCGTGGTGGTCGTCGTTGACGGCGGTACCGGAGGCTCACTGGGATCCTGGTCGCCAGCGTTCTCCGCCACATCCTTGCGATCCTCTGGCTCTGCGGAGCAAACGTCCAGGATGCAAGCTCGCAAGAAGGCCTCTTTCTCGCCAGCATCGCCAGATGCTCCGGTGGGCGGGTAAGGCACGCCCTTCAGCCAGTCCGCCGCGTCGCGGCACAGCTTCGCAGCATCCATCAGAGTGAAGCCATCCTTCGCGGCA